TATATAGTCATGGTGTGCCTATATATGGCCTATGATATGATGTCATCATGACCATATTTAGGCATGTCACATGTTTTCGTCAAATCAAATTTGATAGTCTGGACAGGACTTAAGGGACATACAAATTGTACCTTGCACAACAGTACATCTATTGTGTGTTGCTACAGCAGTAAGGCGTTTTGTGGAGGGCGATTGATGGGGCAGTTACAGTCTGAGCCTAAAATTCAACCTTGAGGTCAGGGTGTCAAGTCTCTCACGGCACGCTTTGCTTGTGTCTTTGGGAAAGGCACTCTACATCATTTCTCTTTACCCAAGATTATAAATGGGTAGTACCAACCACTTATGGAACGGTGATCCCCAGGCAGTTATTAAGGATGTGTGTTCCATAGGTGTGTGATTCAATGATCGGGGATAATAAATGTGAAGTGCAGGGGCAGTTGACAGCATTATGTGATATAGTACTATTATTTGAGTGTGATACGTATCACAAAATAAGCTGCTAAGTTAACAGCAAAAATCTATGATCCACTTCAAACACGACTCTGAAAGTACTGTACCTTAATCAGGGATGTAGTTATGGTGAGCGAAGCAACACAGTGTAAAGAAAATTTCATGGCCCTCCACCCACCTTTATTAAGCACATTTCCCATCCTTGGAGTTTTCCTACATTATAACCACCCACCCATAAATTTCTACCAATCACCCTCAGTTTTCTAGAGCTACAACCCTTCTGTAACTTTATAAAATAATCTTTGTTATAATGAAATGTATTAATAATAATAATAATAAGCAGAAATTTATAACGCGCCAATTCAAAAAACATTATCAAAGGCGCAGTGAACAATTAAGCCAATTAAAGCGATTTTGTAAAAAAAAAAAATTTAAAAAAAAAAAAGTTTTCAAATTAGTTTTAAATGAGTTTAAATTTGAAGTTTAAAATGTAACTTACTTCTTTTTTGTTCAAATCTAACAGAGTTGTGTAGATCATTCTGGTAGCTTTAATCCTTGTGTGGACAGCCATGTATTGCTCATGCTACAAACATAACAAAATATAACTTCAACATTAAAACAAGAACTGAACATCAGATATTAAAGATTTCATATCTGATGAGTCAAACAATGTCATATAAGTGTGTGATGCAAGAATAAATAATACATACTAAAATCCTATTCACAACCTAATACCCGATTCACATGTACAAAAATCTTACCAAATGTAACAAAATGTAACCAAAAGTAACATTTTACGGCACGTGTGAAAGTACCTCCGTGTAATATCCTTGTAAAATCTCGGAACGTCTCGGTAATCTTTACCAGCCTCGCTGAGGCTGGTAAAGCTCCCGAGATGTAGCATGGATGTATCTGCGCATGCGCAGGGATTTCAACACAACAACAATCTACTGTGTTTCACGGGGTTCTTTGAATTTTCTTCCTTCTGCAGACGATTCTGATCAACTAGAAATAGATAGGCCTAGTTTTTCTCAATGATGAATGCATTACCCTTGTTATTGATGTTAATTAGTAATGGTAGAAGAAGAAGATATACATAAAATGAACGTCGGGATGGTGTTAGTACTATTACTAGTAATATCAAGAGTCAACAGAAACATTGGAAGTTGTGCCTAGTTTAGTAGTAGTAGTAGTCTAGTAGTACAGTAGTTTACAGCAGTTGTTAAGGGCATTGATTGCTTCGAATGTTTACAGTGATGGTGAGTTCAACAGTCCATCTGTGACAGGGGTTCTCAACTAGGCCTAGGCTAGACCTATATTGCAGTAGGGGAAAAAATGATTAATTGAATAAACACTGAGTAAATTTTACACGACCTTGACATTACCTTACAGACGCGTGTGAATGCTTTTTATCTCGGTAGGAATAACTCGGGAGATCGCTCGGTTACAATTTGTTACTTTTTGTTAAATTTAATTTCACGTGTGAATCGGGTATAAGTTGTAGTATAAAGTTGTTAGATACATTAAGGTGTTTAATACAACAGAGTTAAAAATGAAAATATGAAGGTTTTGGAGAAAGTTGGTACAACCAATTAGAAGCATAAAATTATGTCCATACCTGCCAACATTCGGATATTAAAAATAGGGACGCTATTCATTGGTGCCACGCCCCCACCCCAAACAATTTGTAAGATGGTAACTATATATCCTAATTCCTGTATAGTTGCTTTAAATAAAAAACAAGAGTTACTTAATTTCAAATGTACTGTATATTTAATTTACCTCACAACCAACACAGATATTTAAGTTACGTTTTAATCAGTAGGCCTAAAGGTTTCATCATAAAGGGCACGGTATATTGCTTGTTTCGCTTACCTCATAATGTCGTTTGAGTATTTAGACAAATGACACTGATGAATGGCACATGACGAAAGCCAAATTTTTGACACAAAAAGGCCATAACAGAAACTAAATTTTACATAAAAGATATGTTTGTACAATATTTATTTCAATAGGCCTTAGCCATTTTTGCCCAGCTAGGGCTAGGCCTAGGACGAATCCTAGGTCTAGGCCTAGGCTTAGTCAGACTAGGGTCTAGTAGGCTAGGACTAAAACATCTGCCAATTGAAGTCTAGGTCATAACCTATTATTTTCCTTCATAGTACATTGTTACGAGTATTTTGCCGTGTTGGCTTTCCTACGATTTATTATGGATCGATGGCCTTCCATACTTGGCTGATTGCGTATATAACAGTGCAGCAGGTGGAAGTGGCTCTCTTCAGTGTTAGCTACTAGGGCGAAATGTGAAACGTTGGTGTAGCCTGGAAATCGTCTCATTGCGGCTAGTTCGGCTCATTGGAGGGTGAGATTGAACTGAAAGACACACCTCGTTGAATGAGATAGCCTGGAATTAGCAACAGATTGAGCCTGGGTGTTCTGGCCTTGTAGAGCGATTGTGGTACGACGGCAGGAATTGCTTCAACCGATTCAAGCACGTGGGCTGTGGATTGTAATGGATGATTGATACCTGATCCTTTATATCGGATCCTAACTAACTTGTAACATACATTATTATTATCATATTTAATACATTGTTTATTATCTAAAAAGAACCAAATTAAACATGTACGCCTACACCGATTGAATAGTCTAAGTCTGTGACTTCTGTCAACAAGCACATGTGAGGGAAGCGTTTTTTTCTTCTGCAGGTGGGTTTATTGCAAGGTCTCTATAAAGGTAGTAAGCCAATCACTACACAAGTTACGTGCAGAAAAAACACACTTGTAATGATTTTGTTCCCGGTGCTCAAGATGAAAAAAAAAAATAGTTTTTTCGTCGATTATCAGCATTTTTTCATACTTTTTTTTCTAGAAAAGCTAGAAGGCTAGAAAATTTTAAAGATAGGGACATCCTAATTTTTTGGTGTTTTTGACATCAGAAATCTGGACAATCCCGATTAAATCAGGACAGTTGGCAGGTCTGTTGTGTCTAACAGTGGTACAGGCATTTGTTCCAGTGACCAAGGTAATAATGTTAAGAGCCTACAGGCTGTGGTGTTACATCACACCAACATCATCAACTTTGTAATGGTCCTAAGTTGGAAAGCCTTTTCCAGGTGATCTGTTTTTTTTATTTTTTTTTTTTATGAACAAATCCAATTATATTTGGCTGTGGATAGTGATACTAATAAGAAGCTGAATTCCGGTAGACTATTGGTAAAAACATGCGAATATCATTTGATTTGAAAAAAATGTCACTACCTTGGTAAATGTCTCTTGCTTAGGTGAGTGTCTGTAATTGAAGAAACACAGTAAAAATTGCTAAGGTACCATTGTTATAAGCATGCCAAATAAAAAAAAAATTACCTGTAATTCTTTAACATCATCTTTCTTTTCTGTTGGACGTGTTCTTGTGTTCTGAAAGAGAATAACATTATTAATTGTTTTTAAAGCAACTACATGAATACATAATGGGAGAACAGTTATTGGTCAATACAATATCATGTGATCTTGGTGTCTAAATTTTGATTTAGATATTGTTTGATTGTAGATAGTGTTATCCAGGGGCTGATATATATTGTTGGGTGGGGGTGGTAGATAATACTAAGAAGTTATTACAGAGTGCTAGGGAAGGATTAATACATAGGACCATACAAGGGAGAAATTAGTTCAAAGCATTGTGGAGAAGAATGTGGACATAGGGCCTGAAACATAGGTCTGGGGTGGGACTTTGTTGTTTGTTGTAGAAAATCCTATGAAGGCTGTTGATAGATAGTGTTGGGAAGTAGTTTGTAGATGTATATAGAAGGAGATAGATAGTGCTAGGGATAGGTACCAAGCGCACTACAGTACAACTTGCAAGTCAAATACTGGTTTACCTTGATCTTTTTGTTGTACTCCTCTTCAACTTCTTTAAGCATCCCACAAACTCGCAGCTCTGTTACTTTTGGTGCTAACTGAAAACCATACAAAAGTGGCTGGAAGTCTTCCTACCAAAATTGTATTAAAAATACATGTGTATTAGTTAACTACTTCTTTATCTTCTTTTTTCCTTTAACATTTTGAAATTTTAAGCAACTTTTTGTGTTTGGATTTCAAGCCTTGATATCAAATACACTGAATTGTTCATTAAAAATTATTAACTAAGTTCCAATGATGATCAAAACCAAAACAATTAAGTTTTTGTTGATTTCGACTTGGGTCCTGGATAACGCTAACTATACCACCACCAAAGACAAGATCAAGTCAACATCTTGTAAAGATCTGATGTACCTGACAGAGTACATTGATTGTGCTAGCAACATTAGGTAGTTTTCGCCGCACAACGTTAACCTTAACTTCAACGTTAGTACCCAACATGCAACGTGATATCTCCGCCCCTTTTGTAAACAAATCGAAATACGCTTGCGTAAACCCGTAACTAACGTACGTCGAGCATGTAAAATTCTGAAATTAGCGTACTTCTCAACGCAAGATGAATAAATTATGATGTCATCCGTTAACGTTAAGGTAAAAGTCGTGTGTGTCTACCTCTGGCTGAAACAAACTAGCTAGCAAGTGTGTGGACTCAATAAGAAAAAGAACGTCCTATTAATCATCAATCTCAGTGCCTTAACTTTTCTAAGGAGTCTTCATATAAATTAGTATTTTTATGGAAGAAATTATAATATACTGAATGTTTTCTTATGAATAACCTAGCCATAAACAGAAAGATGTTTAAATCTCATTAAAAGAGGACACCCCACTGACTACTAGCAGTATCAACTAACCCTAATTTATGTACTGTCTTTTACATACAAGGAAAATACACCTTTTTGAGAAGCTAATATGTGTGTTCACCACACATTCAGAGTGGATGGGAAATTACAACTTCTGCTGACTTGAAAAACGATGACGACACACAAAAATGAGGCATGTGGATAGTAAAAAAAAGGCGTGGGTAGCCTTCTGACAAGCCGTCATCTATTGCCTCTAACCCTGATGTGTACGCTCCCTAATATACCTCTCATTCATGCTTCTAGGTCTGTTGAAATAAAACATCCAGATAATGTACACTTAACAGAAAAAAGATTACCTCTTCATACACAGATGCTCTGATGACTTTATCCTTTATGATGTCTACCATCTTTAGAATAGCGAGTGTGAAAGCCTTGATGCAGCGATCCTCAATGATATCTGGGTTGTGTGTGTACAGACTTGTGAATACAGTTTGTGCTAAAGAATGGCCTTCAAGCCATGTGACCTGAATATTAACAAATAATAGTATTTAACAGTGCTATCATGGTGGTTGTAAAAGTGGTGGTTGTAAGAGTGATGGTTCTAGTTTTAAGTAGTAGTAGCAGCAGCAGTCGTGTTGGTAATGGTAATATTGCAATAGTAGTGATAGCAAATAATAATAATAATAATAATAATAATAATAATAATCTAAGTCTTATACAATCACATTGCCTCTATGGACTTTACATGAACAAAAAGAAAACAAAATACGAAAAAACGTATTGCTACAAGGAAATAATAAAAAAAAAAAACAATAAAGCAGAATAATCAATTTCACTGCTCCATTCTACAGAACTTTGAAGATGAAATGTTAAAGTAAACACCAACCAACAATTCTGTTGTCTACATATCTAAATTTAAGTGCAATTTAGGCCTATTTAAGTTATCAGTATGTTGTGTACATATCCCATACAGCATAGTTATTGTATTGTGTGTATATTTTTACATACTAATCTTGTATATATGTTTTATTTTTTACTGTAGGCCCACTGTATGTTTTTTGTAAAATTTCCAGTGGAAGCTAATTTTTCCGACAATAACTGAAATAGTTAATTAAAAACGTACCAAACAGGCAAATGTTGTATCAATTATTGCAATTTGATCTGGTAATGCAATATCTTTAATGATGATTTTACCCATTTCTATACCCTGCTCAAGATTTAGGATTTCACTCTTTTGATTGCAAACCATTCCAGCATCCATCTTAGGGTCCATCATTTCAATCGCAGACATTGCTTCAAATAATCCAAAACTGTGAAAATTTAAAAACAATAAATAAATGTATAAAGAAAATTCTCACAAAAATCATATGCTTTTTATTAGTGTAAATTGTATGTTTAATAAAAAATATAGAATTTTACTATAAATTATTAATATATAGTATTTTATGAAGTTTATAAATTTATTGTACACTACAGTAGCTCAAAAATTGTTTATATCATAACTGGGTTAAGCTTAGTTTTCATAATATCAATGCACTGTTGCTACAACCCTGTCCCAAACACATTTGGGATGACTCAAAAAGTCGAAATATTATAGGTCCATGCTTACTTAAATCAAAATAGCAATTAAAATTGAATTGTACTGTTTGCTATCTCAGAGACTTAATTGTAATTCGTGCTATATAAAAACATTATTATTATTATTATTATTATTATTATTATTTATTAATTATTATTATTATTTATTAATTATTATTATTATTATTAAATGAAATATAGCAAATAAGAAATTTAGCTAACCTGGAATCATGGAAAAGTTCTCCTTGCTTAAGCTCATCGGTTGCTTCAATGAATGCACTTGTTACATCTAGCCAGTTGTAGAGAGGTTGTGCACTGCATTCTTCAAATATACAAAATCAAGAGAAAGTGTAAAATACAGGTAATAGTTAATACATGTACAATATGTTGAATCCATGATTAGACTTGCTAGTCAATGTAAAAATTTAAAAAAAAATATAACATTTACATATTTATTTTAAATGTAAAATAGTTTGTATTTAATAAAAGTACTTAATAATCTTTTAATTTTAATGTTCTTATTCAAGTATGGCTGTGCACAATTTAAAAGTGGAGAAAAAAAAAATTATATTCAAATTTAAGTATGAGAGTATCATTTCTGTCCAACCAGGTGCCATGATCATAAATTTTCTTATCTCAGCCGGCCCAACCATGGCTGAGGTGGTCTACACTCCATCTGTAAAAGTCCTTCTCTAAGACCCTTTATTTGGAATTCCTGGGATTTTGAAAATGTAGTGTGGGATTCGCCAAGGGCCCACCATCAGGGCCCTGGACGGGCCCCGCTAAGGCTTGGGCCTATGGCACAAGATTTCATTATTTTGCAATTCGTTCCCCCCACATTCGTCCCCCACTTGGCAGAAACATATTCAAGAGGTGAATCCTTGATGAAAATCCAGGAATAGGATACCTGGCGCCTAGAGATCCTAGGCAATTTTTGGCCGTTTTTATATGTTTTGAGATATCATAGAACGTACTCGTAAGCTCAAAATTTGAGACCAACCAAAGCAATCATAAATAATAATTGCTTTTATGTACACCCTGTATGCCTACCTTGTGATAATGGAGAACCTAGCTCTGGTGTCTTGTCATCCATCTTGTCCTTAAAAATGAAAAAATATAAAGCATCTTAAGAATAAGTACATTTTCAGAGATTACAAAATCAATTTTCTAAAAACCACCAAGAATGCCAGACAATTCTCACTAAATGAATTTTTAAAAATAATATTAGTTTGTAGTGCTATAAAGTGTTCCTTTTAAAGCAAAAAAACATGTCTATAGGGCAATGTTTGCATATTTTATGGTTGCTATCGGTGATTTGCTAACCTGCACATGTCGTTTATCCTGTGAACTGCACTAACTAATAATTCAATGATCTCCATTCACTGCAACATAATTATGTCCATAATTTTGCTTGAATATGTTAAAAACTCTTCCACCAATTGCCATTATTATTGTTACATTAATATTAATGTAGTTTTTGGTTTTCTTTAAGTTGTACAGTACAGTTAACTAAATGGTAGCCTTAAGCTACTGCTTTTTTAATTGCATTCAAATTTGTTAATTTTAATGTGTTCGCTCCACAGACTTGTAGAAGAACAACTTTTGTAAAAACAAGTTTTCCTGTGTTAAAACAAAGCTAATTATTATTATTAAAAAACATTTTTGGATTTTCCCAGCAGTACTGGGAAAAGCCATTGTTTTTGTTCTGATTTTTTTTTTCTTTCTTTTTTCTTCCTTATATTTTTCCTATCTTTTTGCACTCAGATTCACAACATACTACAGATCGTCACAAACATTTTATCACTTTTTTTACAACACCTTTACAAAGTATTATAGAATGTTTCATTTAGACCCATTGGTTTCTTTTTAAAGAGATATTTAGGTCTGGGTCCTCAAAAATTTAAAAGACCCTGAAATTTACCCTTCACTTGATCGTCACTAACACATAAAAATTTCTTCCTTGTAACTTGATTAAACTTTCCCTAGGTTTCATTCACATCAACTGACTTATTTTTGAAATATCCAGTGTAGACTGTCTGACCTTAAATCACTTTAACTGGTCCTCACACGCACACCCCACCATAGATTGACACTAAACATTAGGAGGCATATGATTGATATATGGCCTATGCTTCGGCAAAGCACGGAAAAATTCTAAGCATGGGAAGTGACCAAAGTGACGGACAGAAAAAAACAGTGCAAAAACATAGGAAAAATATGTGCAAGAAAAAAAAAAATGTCTGTTTGAACAACAGAACAAAGGGCTTTTCTCCATCGCTTTAATGAGAAATGAAGTTGAAATTGCAACAAAAAGAAAAGTCGTTAAAAGTTATAAAGTAAAAATAATCACAGAAACCAATATAACTTTAATGAAGTGGAAAAAATAAAGTGGAAAAAGAAAAAAAAAAAACGAAAACCAAGTTCACTGCAACTGTTGAATGGAAAACGTCCCTGACCGCATATTTTGAAAACGGATCAACTGATCTGAATGAAACATTCGGAAAAAGTTTAACCAAGTAACAAGGAAGATAGTATTATGTGTTGGCGACGAATCCCACAATTCTTCACAGAGATGGTATGTCGTCAAGGTATCAGGATAGTGGTGGCTCACTGGAATCAGAAGGTGCACAGGTCTAAGGATTGAAGGAGGTACTGTAACTATTAACTATTCATGTTGCATTCTCTATAGAAGGATACCGGTAGAGAAGGATCTCATACCAACACTGAATTCCTCATCTACAGTACAAGGAATAAAGATTAGTGACATTAGTGTAGAGGTTGGACTGTTGATCAGAATGAAGGTTCCATGTGCTGATGGAGCATTTTTGGAAAATTGAATCTCCTTTTTTCCATCCCAAACAAAATATTATTAATAAATCAACATGGTCCATCTCAGTAATCATAGCCAGTCACAAAATTAGGCTAGGAAGTTTGTTTTCAACAGCAGACACACACAACAGAACGGAGTGCATCAACCGGAGTTTGTTAATTTTTAGTGATAAAGAATCATAACGTAGAATAACTCTGACTTTTTTTCGTCCGGTGTTGCAAAGAAGAAAAAAACAGATAGTCCTTTAAGGTGGGTTACTGATTACAAAATCAATTTAGCTTAGCCTAGATGTTGACTAGCTTGGTTCGCTCCTCGTTCATTTAGAGACAGAATTATACCCCGATGACAACAAACTAGTGTAGGCCTAGGCCTAAGTAGAGTAGGACGTACTACTAGGCCTAGGCTTTTGTTGTAAAAGTTAAAGTGCATTGTACAGGATGCGCCATAGGCCTATATTTAAAAAAAATACATTTTGTTTATTATTATTGGTTGGCCTGAGACCTAGGCAGGCATGCCAGCTTTACCGTTGAAAGTCCTGAGATTCGACGATAAAAATAGACGTGCTGAATTTCGATTTTTTTTTTTATGAAAGATAGAATTTATTGAACATTTATCTATATAAAAACAAGATTAATATTGTATAAATTGTATTTTTAAAGATTCATATATAATTCATATTTCATTTGGTAGACAATAAATATTCAGTAAGATATACTAAAAACGATCATTAATTCTGAAATGTGCATCAAATCTCAGCTAATATTAATCAGTATGTATTATGTTAAAGTCTTAAAATAATACAAATAATTGTAATTATTTCATTTCATTTATTTAATTGGTACAAACGGCCCAAAGGTTGCGTCAGCAACAGTGCGCCATAACACCTCAAGTGGTGCCCACAACCTTTGGAACAATTAAGAACTTAAAATTAAAGTTTAGGTTCCCATGATGTTAGATGACGTATTGAATATGATACTATGTTTTTTACTCTGACTTCATTTAACGATGGCCCTGTCAGTAGTAATGACAATATTTGTAGATTTGTAGAATATATGTAGTAAAATAGTAGGCCTACTATTATTTTCAGAGTACAAAATGAGAGTAAATAAGAAGTAGTAGAACAAGAAGTATAGGAGAGGAAGAAGAAAGAAGAATAGCCTTTTTTTGTTTTATAATAATAAATGTGTTGAGTATATTGATATTGATTATGCGATGAGGGTTTTTTCTTTAATGTTTTTCGGTGTGATTTACCGTAAACATGCCAATTCTCAGAAAATATTTTCTAATTATATTATATTACCACCTTTTTATTACATACAGTATATCCTTTTCAAAACATAACTGCTTTTATAACATTATATAGACCCATTAAACACAAAAAACTGCCCCGACCTCACCGTGGCCTTTAGGCAGGCCCCTGGATCCCACGCCCAGAGAACCCCCCCCCCCTTGAAATGACCTGGCTACGGGCCTGATGGTAATGGCCTAGTACTACTACTAGTAGAATGCTTACTACAAAAGCCTAGGCCCCTATGATGCCTAGGCCTGGCTAGAGTAGAATAAGATCCGGGCCTAGAGAGCTAGCCTAGGCCTGTATGTAGGCTAAGTAATGTGTAGCTTAGGGCCTAGCTAGGCCTAGCCTATACTAGGCCTAGTAGGCCTACTACTTAGGAGGATAGGCGGTGCTAGATTATAGCTAGGACCCATGCCTAGGCCTAGCCAAGAATTCATCTGGTAAATAAATTGATAAATATCCATACCAAGTTATATATTGCAGCTTGATTGAATATCAGCTCGCCAACTTCGGGGATTGCACGGAAAGAATACAGACACAAAAATAGGCATTAGGATACCTAAGGCCTAGGTAATGTACGATGTTCGATGGTTTTGGACCGGCGTTTTGTCTCGCCAAAGGTATGAAACGCCAAAGGTATGAAACGCCATAGTCGCAGATGAAATCACAAATCCACTAATTGATTGATTTCGTATACAGTACAGTATATCATTAATTTTACAGTACGGTAGTACCTGGGGAGATTTACATCTCCCTACTATTACGGTACTTCATTGATTATTATTCAGGTAGGCCTAGTATTAATGATTGTAAATCGAATTCGTTTTTTTCTAAACGACATTAAGCCAAGAGAACCAGGAGGTGCAGCTGTAGGCCTAAGCAAAATTACTTTGCGTTACAAAGAGTTTCTTAGCAAACGAATCAAGGTGATTTTTAACTACTTGACCGTGATTTGAATTTTGAAGTAAGCATGTGGTTAACATAAGTAAGAATTTAGTCCAATGAAACTGTTTATCATCTTGATACCTTCCGACGAAAGTTGACCCTACCGGCGTCACCACGGCGCGGCGTCCCCCACCGATCGATCTAACATGACGTTGTTATATGGGTGTTTTATGGATTATTGAGAATGGTAATATCACCGAAAAAATAAATAAAATGACAATTGAATGACCAACAAAGACAACTGTAGACAATAGTTCGTCATTAGAAGTTATTTTGTATAACTTTATTCTGAAAATTAATCTCCAAATCGAGTTGCCGTCCCCGGTGTTGTCAGTGACGTCGTATTATTTGTGTGCGATTTTACCAATTAACCCATAAGTAAAAAACAGTTGAGCCATGTAGTACCTTGCAAATCAACCCAGGAACCCGGTTGTTTGTTGTTTGTTGATTGTTTAGTTTATTGGTAGCGTCCCTTCACTGCCAAAAATAGGGCATGGTGAAGGCTGGTTACGATTTGGTGGCTCATCTGGCCATGTAGTCAGTGGCATATCTAGATGTCTTTAAATGGGGGTGGGAGGCTGATGGGGACGCGAAGGTAAAGTTGGGGGTGGGGGCTCGATGATCAGTTGAGGGGCGCTAATT